ATGCAGTCCTCTGCGGGAGGGAGGCAGCTCCCTGCAGGCCACTGTGCGGACTTTTCTGGCTGTTGCAGGCACCCCGCACAGCCCGGCCCAGCCGCCTACACAGCAGGAGCCCCCAGGCTCAGCACGCATAAAACTGAGAGGCCCTCAGAAGGGAGGAGCTTCCGAATCTCGCCAAGTCATGCCCATCACTTCTACCCTGCCCACCTTGGACCTACACCCCTATTCTGAGCCTGGCCCTGTGCCCCACGCAGCATTCTGGGAGCTCACGTTTGGCAAAGGCACCGTCATGGCTATGCCCTGGTGTGTCCAGAGACAGGGAGTCACCACTGGTCCGGAGGAGGCCTGGGGGGGCATGGCGAGACCCTCAGGCTGAGAGGTTCCTGAGTCCAGGGGCTCAGAAAGGGTGGAGGGAGTGGCTCTGTGGCTAGAGGGTACGTGCGAGCCTCTCTCTGGGAAGGCCGGCTCTGAGACCTCTCACTCATTGCACCCTAGGACCCTGTCCCCAATGGTCACAGACTCACAGACCCTCCTAGTGCCAGGACTTCTGTCATTGCTGAAGGGAGGCCTACGAGGAGGATGCTAAGCACCGCGATGGGTGAGAAAGTGGTGGCTCAGAGGAACCAGGTGACACAGCCCAAATTTCCTAGGACTCAAATGCAGGCAGGTCAGGTTGTCCTCACTAGGTGGCAGGTGCTCTGCCTGCCCAAATCACATTCTCCTCCCCCTCCTGCCCCTCGCCAGCTCCTGACTCACCCCTCCCTTCTCTGGCTTCAGCCCCTTGCCGGAAGCCCATACTCCCACAACTCTGACACCTCTGCCAGGCCCACAGGGAGCAGGTGGAGAGGCAGGTCCTGTGCCAGGGTCCACCTGCTCATCCACAAGACACAGAGGTTGGGTCACTGTACATGCCAGAGAGGAGCCCGAGGATCAGAGAGGGTAGGAGTGTCACACCAGGGTGACCACCTAGACCTTCGGTCTTCCTCCAGGTGCCCTCCTGGTAGCCTCAGGCTCCACCCTGCTCAGACCTGGCAGTGGGTGCCTGTGGTCAGGCAGCTAACCCCCACGTACTGTTGCTCTTTCCCGAGTGTCTGCAGGGCCGAGCTCTGTGCTGGAAATCAGGATTGGAAACCAGGAGCACACACGCCCACACTTACAGTCCATGCAGGAGGTAGAGAGAGAGGGGACAAGTGGCCTCGATGGGAACACGCACCCTGGGGAGGCCCAGTGTACACAGGTGCGTCAGTGTTCACAGACGCAAACAGGAAACCCCCAAAGGCCATCAGCACTAAAGAAGCTGCAGTCTACTTGCCCAGCCGTGCTCCCGCAGGGCCACACCCCTTCTCTGTAAAGCACCAGAGCGCAAATATTCCAGGCTCCATCCTCTGCATCTCAACCCTGCATCTCTGCCCCGCAGCTCAGAAGCAGCCACGGGCTGCTCTGAGTGAGTAAGCAGGGCCGGGATCCAATAAAACTATTTTTTTTTCCTTAATTTGCTTTAGGGCACATACAGATAACCAGAGAAAGAGAGTGAGAGGGAAATTAAGAAAGCACCCCTGGGGGGATGGCCACACCACATCTGTCCCTTCTCCTCCATTCTCCTCTGGGGATTTTGAGCATGCACACACATGTATCTGGAGTGCTTTTCAACCACCGGGTCCAGGACTTGAACTGTGCCATCAACCATGCAGGAGTCAGTTACCTTAACTACCATGTCACCAGCTGGCCTGGACATAGAAATTTTAATTTTGAATTATGTTCACATGGTGCAAGATAGTCATCTTTTGATTTTTTTTCCCCAACCGTTTTTAAAATGTAAAAACCATTTACAACTCTCAGGTCCTGCAGAGAGGCAAGGGGTAGGATTTAGCCCCTGGGCCGTGCTTGTCGACCTTCCCTCTACAGCAGTGACAGCTAGTGAACTACAGTCAACGACACCGCTTAAAAAGCATCACGTGAATGAAAGAAGCGAGTCAGAAAAGAGCACATACAGCATCGGTCCAACGCCACGAACTCCACAGCCAAGCAAGACTCACCTATTCGGTGTAGGGATTTGTACTAGAGGATAAAACTAAAAAGAAACACCCTAAAAGTCAGGGTGGTAGGACCGCTGGAGAGAGGGCTGGGGGGTCTTTGAGGAGGCAGTGCCAGGGGCTCTGGGCACCAGGATGTTCTTTCCTGGCCAGGTGACATGGCACAGCCTGTCTCATGGCATCTAAGGCACCGTACTTTTCCGTGCATGCATAACATTTCACAATTAGGAAGGAGACCTAGCAGGACGGTGAATCCCTGCCTGCAGGCATGCGGGCCCCAGAGCATGCTCAGGCATCCCTGCCACCCAGCCTTTATTCACAATGACCTGTCACCTGCCCAGCCTACCAGTCCCCCTCCCTTCCTGCCGTGTCCCCTCCTGCAGGGGCCTGTCCAGCACTCCCTCGCCCCACCTCCAGCAGAGGCGCTTCTCCTCCACCCGCCTCTGCCTGGCAAGCTCCTTCTCAGAATCAGACAAAGATGAAAAGCAGAGGCAGTCCTGACAGAGGCGAGGAGCAGTGAGAAGGGAGGCCAGATACCTCTGCCTGGGAAAGGTGCAGGCGCCCACCTCCCTCTAGACAAGAAAGGGAGCGGCGACATCTGAGGCCAGAGCAAACAAGGAGGGAAGGCTGGCAGGCTTCGGCCTTGTCTCACAGCTCCCACCAGCCCGAGGCACCCGTGGCTTGTCCATGCCCGGGGCCCCCAGTGCCTGGAACTGGTCCTTCTCCGGGGTCTTTGGGAAGTAAATACAGGCCCGGAGTGGCAAAGCCAAGAGGAAAGTTTGGGCTTTTGCTGAGGACACCAAGGCTCAGGAAGGTTAGATAAATTGCCCGAGGTCACACAGCTTCAAGAGAAGAACTCAGGTCTCTCTGGCCCCTGTCCTTGGGGATGGCTGAGGGCCGGCGGAAGCAGAGCCAATACACAGGAGCAGCGGCTCCTGAGCTAGAGTCCTGGCTCAGTCCGACGGGCTGGGAGAGGGCTGGGAGCCAGAGGGGATGAGACCCCCATCCCAGGATGGGCTGGAGGTCTCCGGAAGGGAGTCTGGGCTTACTCAGGGGAGCCAAATCTCAGGCTCCAAGCTGGTCTGCAAGGCGGGCAGATGGCTAAGACCCACTGAGTGGTAACCAAAGCTGGGCTCTGTCCTAGGGGGTCCTGGCGGTGTGGTAATAGTCCTGCCCTGGGTGGCAGGGCGAGTAGCAGAACTCGGATTCAGCATCAGGCTGAATGCCCCCAGCCAGCGCTCAGCCGGGCATCTGACCCTGGGCCTCAGGGGGGCATGGAGTCCACCACGGACACAGTTGAGGGTGCCCGCTCGGTTTCGGAGCTGGCAGGTGGTGGGGCAGGTCCCACCAGCAGTGGGGAGGTCTGGAGGGTGTGGAGAGGCCAGGTTCCTTCCAGGGGCTCAAGGCTCTGAGACACAGGGTGGGGAGGGACGTGTAGTGACAACCAGATGACCTGGGCCCCTGGAAGGGGCCAGTGGGCCTAGCAGGGAGCCGGTGTTTTCAGCTCTTGTGAAAGAGCGGAGGAGTTTCTCTTTCGTGTAAGGTTTGTTGCAATCCAGGGGAAAAGTTGTTTTTTGTAGTGAAGGCTGTTTCAAAAGGGCTTTTCCGCGGCAGGGCCCTGTAAAGCCTCTTCACTGAGTTTCCAGGACACTCAGGGTGTCTTGGGAGGAGGGAGCACGCAGAAAAAATGGTGGCATTTGGGGGCACTCAAGGTAAAAGCGACTGAATGTGAGTTCCAATGCGCCGGCACCAACACACGGCCTTTGGAGCTCTGGCCGGCTTTGGCAGGTCGTCTGTGGGAGGGGTTGGAAGGGACCTCCAAGAAGTGCTGTCACAGGGGCCTGGGCCTCAGCCGTGGACCGGTCAGCTCCTGCCTCACCAGAGTTGATTTTCCTTTGCAAAGAAAGGAGAGTGGCCCTGAGCCCACAGGCCCCGAGTCCCGGCTTGGGCAGAGGCCCACCTGGGTCTGAACCTGCCTCCACTCTCAGTGTGGTCTTCAGTAGGCCAGCCGGCTCTCCCAGCCTTCATCTGCCTGTCCCTCAAAAGGAGCTGGGGTACCACGTGTTCCCTGAGGGGTGCTCTGAGGACAGCGGTGCCCACGTAGGGGCTCAGTGAAGGCCAGGTGATGTAAGAAGAATCACAACTGCACGGTACAAACGAAAAGGGGGGGGGGGGGGCAGCTCCTGGGAGCCTCCGAAAGCCTACGTGAACACGAAGGAATAGCCCCAACTGCCTGGCGAGACCCCCCGAGACAGCGAGAGCTTCAACTGGTGTCCAGGCCCAGCAGGGTGGAGAGAAGCCAGTGGAAGATACTCAGCACTGCCCAAGGCTGGGCGTGAGGGCCTCAGTGCTGGCAGCTCCAGAAACATCCACGCCTGGTGTTTCCCGGCCTGCATGAACTCGCCAGAGGCCACCCAGCCAGCTTCCACGGGCGCCTGGGACCAGGAAGAGAGCGCCAGCCTCAGCCCACAAAGACCCCGTCCTGTCACGAGACACTTGGCTGGTTATGTCACAGGGAGGCCCAACTCTTGTAGTGTCAGTGACAGCTCTGCACCCCGGATACAGTGCCCTGGGTGGCTGGGCTGGCCTCTCCTCCCCCAGCAAACGGCCCAGCAGGTTCTACACCGCACAACCCCCGCCAGCATTGGCACGACCCTATGGTGCCCACCCATCTTGTAGGAGGGCCAGGCCAGGCCGCACCAGGGACGGGGGGAGACAGTTAACACAGCAACGAGGGGAGAGCTCTGCCCCCGCCCCTTCAAAGCCACCTGGTAAGGCATCAGCTAAACATCTCCCAGGTCCCCGAGGGCTTCCCCTGTGAAGTCTGCGATGTTCAAACGGCAGCCAGCACGTCCCCAGAGACAGGTCCCTGGGAATTAGCTCAGCGGCCGCCGGATGAAAGCCGCTCTGATGTGCAGCGGTGAGTCCGCGAGAGGACGGGGTGTGCGTGGGGGATCGGGGGGGTGTTACCTGCCAGCTGCAGGCACCAGGGCAGCAGGAGCACACCCAGGAGCCGGGGGGCCGGGAGGGGGCCGGGAGGGCTCTGGCTGCCCAGCGGGGCCCCCCACCGCGGGGGCCGGCTCTCCATCTGCCGCCTGCGGGTCCTGGACAGCTCAGGCAGTGTCCCTTCTTCCTCTTTCAGTCACAGGAGAGACGCTGGCACTGGCAGTGCAGTTCCCCTTCTCGATCCACAAAGCTCCTCCCTGGTGTCCTCTGCTTCCTCAAGGCTGCTCTGGCCTTCCCCTCTCCATAACCCCGACCGTCCTCCCCCGTGCAGGGTGCCTGCCAGACGAGGCGTCAGGGGCCCTCACGGTCCAACCTGCCTCCTCCAGCCCGTCCAGCAGGCATAGTGACCATGCAGAGGGCACAGGGCCTCGAGTCACCAGGTCCTGAAGCAGAGTGATCCGTAAATGACACACTGGGCAGCCCTGGCCAAGAGCAGGGCTTTGGAAGGAGTGGAAGTGGGGGAGAGTTAAGCGGTAGGTGAGTGACGGGAAGGGGCAGGAGCCACCTGTGCCAGCTTGGAGATGGCCAAATGTCCCCTGGGGCCCAGAAGCAGGCTGCCCATCGCTAGCCCAGCCATGGGCCACTGCAGGCCCCCAGAAGTCCAGGGGATGCCTCCTTTCTGGCCCACCTCACAGTCACCTCTCCCCGTGGCTCCTGTGTCCTAAATTCGCCCTCACCCCCACGCTGTGAAACACACTAACTGCTTCCCTGTCTGGCTCACATCATGGCCCGCTCCGCTTCCAGTGCTGCCAACCCAGACACAGCCGCTGTTGGCCCCCTGCCCCTTCCTCCATGGACTGGCGGCTTCTCGGCTTTGGCATCCTGAGCCTGTGCCGGGCTGGGTGGGACAGGGGCCACACTGTGGGCGTCTGGAGCAGCAGCGGGAAGGGCTGTGGAGTGGGGTGAAGACAGGCTCAGGCAGGCAGAGGAAGCAGGTAGGGGGTGCCCGGTCTTTGGCGGGCCGAGCACTCACCTCCGTCCCACTAGCACCCACTCTCCACGAGGTGATGTGGTACCCCAGATGCACAGTCCCGGGGGAGCACTTGCACACAGGACAGGCCCGTGGGTCCACAGTGCCACCCCAGCCGGGCGATGTTGAGCCCTTCTCCCTAGCCCCTTTCTGGGCTCCCTGGCTGCAGCCCCCTTGGTGGCATCAGGGGGTCATTGTCACTCCTTTGCTCGAATGCACATGAACAACGAAGCCAAAAGACATGCCCGCCACAGCCAGGAGCGCCAGAGGCCAGCGAGGGAGCAGAGGCCGCCCAGCAGGTGGGGAAGACGTGCGAGCAGGAGCCAGCTCCTACAGCAGGGGCGGCGAGGACCCGGCGGTATTGACTGCTGATCCATCACGGTGATACACGATCGCTCGTGTCACAGTGAGGCACAGATAATCTGCTTCACGCTGCTCGCCAGCTCCTGGGGGGGCAGGTTGTCTCCGACCTCGATGCCATGGTGACAGACGTCACGTCAGTGCCTCGGTGCGCAGAGGGAGCGTTCTCAAGGCATCGGCCTGTGCCTCCGAGTCTCGTAATGACTTGGCACTGGGAGGCGGCCGCGAAACACGGCCTCTGCTCTGCTCTGAGTCCCAGCTCGCTGCTCCGGCCTGTCTGTGCTGGGGCCTCTCTGCCTCTCATGGACAACCCTGCAGCCCTGGCTGTGCGCCCCACGCCCCGGCGTGGCACCCCTGGAGCTCCCAGAGAGCGCCGTCACCTCTGAGCCTGGGTCCTGCCTGCTGCATCCTGGGAGCCACTCCTGTGTCTGCAGGCCTGGGGCCCCCTGTAGCCTTCCTCGATTTGGACCCCCTTGTGCCTGGAAGGGTGGTGGGGTGCAGATGGGGAAAGGCCTTCCCCAGCTTGCCATAAAGGGAGTGTGTAACCGTCACAGCTCCCAGGACGCTCTCGGCGGGCCTCAGTGAGATGGCCAACTCCCGTGTCGGGGAGGAGGTCTCAGGCTGGAGTCCCTCTGTCCGTCCACCATTCGTTCATCACAGGCTGCTGACGGCCTCCTCTGTGCAGGCACTGATTCAGAGAATGGTGCAAAAGTGAAGACCCCAGCTTCAAGCACTGTGGCCAGAGAGGGAGTGAGGGATGAGCCCAGAACAGTTAGAGCAGGGCAGCCCAGAGCAGTTGCTAAACCCGGGGCCTGCTACAGGGGTGTTCCGTTGCCCAACCAATTTACCTCGCTGCAACTCTCTGAGGTAGGTACTCTAATTGCTTCCACTTTACAGCTGGGGAAACTGAGGCACGGGGAGGTTAATGTGCCGCTGACCACTACTCAAGCCCACCTCAATGGCAGAAATGTGTACAAAGCAAAGCAGGCTGAGAAGTGAATTAGCCAGGGTAGAGGATGGGGTGCCCAGGAAGGCTTCATGGAGGAGGCTGCAGTCCTGAAGGAGGAAGCGGATAGGAAAATGGGAGAGCAGAGGTGTCCCCTGGTCTCCACAGCTTTCCACACCGAACCACAATGGCCTCTCCTCTCAGTTTACTTCCACGAAGTGCCCACTGGGTGCCAGGCAGTGGGGGTACAAAACACACATCGTAGCTTTTCCCTCAAGACCCTCCCTGTCTCAGGAGGGGACCAAACCCTCCCACACACAGGATTTCCAAAGGCCCGAGTGAGTGAGCCAGGGCGGAGGGGCCTCCAGCTGACCTCCACCTTGAGGACCTGGGCTCCCCACAGTTCCTTCCCAGCAGCACACAGGAAGCAGAAGCGTGGTGGGAAGGGGACCTCTCTGCTCCGCCCCAGCTGTGGAAGCCACTTCCTTCCTCCCCACAGGCTCCAGCCCTCGAGGGAGGCCAGCAGGAGGGAACCCTGTGGACAGCCCCCCTGCACCGGTGGCCTAGACAGGAACCTTCCAGCCCTTGGTCCTTCAGGCCCCGCTGCTCAGGGAACCAGGGGTACCTCTCCTGGCTCCCTGCTTTTTTCCCTGTGGCACCCCACGTCTAAGGGCAGCCTTCCCTGCTCCCAGGAGTGCCCGGGTATGTGGGTTGCCTCGGGGCCCCCTTCACCATGCAGCATCTCTGTGGTTTGGGTGGCACTGACCCCACTTAGAAGGTCACCCACCTGGAGGCCACCACTAGGCAGTTCCTGCCGGGCTGAGCCTGGCAGGTCGAGCTCCGATGTGCCTCCCAGCTCTGACTCCCCGTCTGCTGGGCTGGTTTGAAGGCATTTGCTTCACAGCAGACATGGTTCTAAAGGCTTTATGTGCACTGACTACTTCAGTCCTCACAGAAACTTGTGTGGGAGGTGCTATTATTGTCCCTGTTTTACAGATGAGGAAACTGAGGTTCTGAGAGCAGAAGCCACTTGCCCGAGGGCACACACAGTGAGTAACCAGTGGGGTGGGACGTGAGCGTCCACTGCGGTGCATGTCCCCGGCTCTGCAATCGGGGCTGGGTTAGGTTTCTCACCTTACGGAGTTAGTGATAGAACAAACTAGAATAAATGGCATCCTTGTGGGCTCAGAGGGGGTCAGAGTCACTCTTGGGTCAGAGCCAGAGTTTTCCCACAGGACATGGACCACAGTTAGACAAGGCTGTCGCTGCAGCTCTGCCAGGGGAGGCAGCAGGGAGCGCGTGCCCGCGTCCCAGCCCTGCCATACTGAAAGCAACCCTTACCTGGGAGAGAGCAAAATCCTAACAAAGGTGGCACCATTTTTCAGCATCAGTTCCACGTCTGTCACGCATGTCCCTGGAAGAGATAAGCCCAGGCAGAGAAGCTAATCGCTGGGGGTCCTCCAGTGGCAGGTGCCAGAGCCACCAAGTCCTGCACTAATGAGACACCCCGTCCCTTTGCGGCCACTCAGGACAGCCCCAGGGTTGCGCTGTGCTGGTGGCGCCACCTGGTGGCGGACATGGGCAAGCCCTCACCTGAGTGCTCCCGGCGTTCCTCGTCTCAGGAGGTGCAGCAGCCTGAGGGCCACCTCCGCAAGGTCAGGCCAGGGCTCAGCAGGATAGGGCGGCGGATGGGGGAGTGGCAGGGACAGACAGGACCAGGAGTGTGCTGCAGGCTGCAGGACGGTCTGCAGGGCGTGGCAGCTGCAGGACTCTGACCCTCTCTGGGCATCCAGGTGGCCAGGCCCCATTCCAACAAGAGGGTTCTGCTGGGAGCACTTTACAGTCTTTCTAAGGGAGCCTTCTTTGGAGCCGGTTATTGGCTGCCGGGCAAACCAGTGCGCAGACTGAGGCCTTCCGGCAGTTCAGCCAATTAAAGAAACAATTAGCCTCCCCTGGGGCTAATTCCTGCTTCATCCCCCACAGTTCTGTGGTTCTGTGGGACCGAAGCCTCCACCCTCTGTGAGCAGGGTGTGTGGGCATGGCAGTAACTAATTACTCAGATTCTGGCCCCACCCCAGAGATCCAGCCCAGCTTGGGGTCCAGGAACCTGCATTCTTTTCTTTTCTTTTTTTTCTTTTTTTGAAGAGGTTTTTGCTATAAGGCACATGTGCTGTGCTCGTCAGAAAGACAGAGACATAGAGACAGAAAGTGAGAAATCACCCCCCCCAGGGGGGATGGACACACTGCAATCCCTTCTCCTCTATTCTCCTCTCCGGATCTTGGGCACGCACGCACATGCGCCTGGCATGAGTTTAAGGCACCGGGTCGGGGACTCGAACCGCGGTCGACTACATGGGAGTCCAGCGACACAGCCATCACACTAACTGTTGGTCCCCAGGAACTTGCATTTTAACTGACCCTGTTTCCCACACTTGAGAAGCACCTTTGAGTCTGGGTCAAGAATCCTCCCTTCCCAGCAGAGCGGCCCTGTGTCCTGAGGATGGGGACCTGGAGCCAGCCCACCTGGGTTTGCAGCCCACCTTGTCTCCTCAACCTCTGGGCAGTTTTCTTTTCTAGAAAACGCCCCGCTCAGAGAGGTCTGGTGGGAGCAGTTGAAGTTCCAGAGGTCACGCACTTTGCAGAGAGCAAGCTGGGCATAGTGGACCACCGACCTCCTTATCCAGCCTCTCTCGTAGGTCCCTCTGTGAGGGGCTTGGGGAGTCAAGGAGAACAGTTAGGGTCCCACAAAGGCAGATGAGGGGGTGCAGCCAGAGAGTGTGTGGTTATGCAGAAATAGCAGGAAGGGAGGCCCTCCAGGCACCCCTACTTGACAGGGCAGTTAGGGGCTGGCCTGAGAGCTGGCCCCTTGGGGTCCTCCCAGTGCG